TTGATAATTTAAATTCTTTGTTGTTATAATTAGATAAGTGACATCCCTGACTAGTCAAACCCTAAATCGAAGTTCGCTGTTTAAAATTAGAAAAAGAAAATTTTCCCTTTGATTCCGCGGTAGATAGATTGTTGTTGTTGTTTATTTATTGTGGGTACCCTTATTTAGATACGAGTATAGGAAAAACATCGTATAGGGAGTGAAGAGAAGCGCGCATATAATTTTTGTCACTTTCGATTTAGTTCAGCCTTAAGTGAGCAATCGTTGGAGTAAGAACAGCGACAAGAGCTAAATTGTGAAAAAACCCCCCTCGGCAGAACACACCTACGCAATTAATTGCTCTCCCAACCCTATTGTGGACGCCGACCGTAACATATTATGTTGATATGAAACAAGACTCTTCACATTTATATTTATAATTTTTTCCCTAAAACACAGATAAGTTCAATTGACTCTTATGATACCATATTTTTACAAATAAAAAAAATAAGAACAAACACTCACAACAAAATAAGTTTTAACAGTAACATTAACATAAAAGCATATAATAATATAAGCCATAATAATAATAATAAGCTGTGTTTGAACCTAACCTGAAGGAAAGAACATGAAGAATGGAAACCAGCAGTGTGTATGTGACACTTTTTAATGATTTAATTAATGATACTGACTTCATTTACATGAACACAAACGAAGATTCAGAAAATAGTGACCATGATCGTGGATTCAAAACTTTATGTTGGCATTAGATAATAAGTATAATAATAAGGCAAGAACTTTGGTTGATAATGTAGATAGTTGGAATGAAGAAGTTGATAATGCAGAAGCTTTGGCTGGTGATAGTCAGAATAAAGATAAACTTTCTCCAAACATAGATATTAGGACAGAAATGGACAATGATATTGCCTCAGTGCCTGATAAAAGCATCATTATAGAACATTTACTAGAGATAATACCTAACATATAACAATTACACATCATGTGTTGTTTTTTACATCAATGAAAATGGAACATTACACCCTTGTCATAAAGTCTTAAATATCAACGCCTGCTTACTTAATTGATTAGTACATGGAAAATTGACAACTTGGCCTTTGAAAAGCCAATTGAGAAAATTCCCTCCATACACTCAGCATATGTTCTACTATTCATACCGTCCGTAAATTTGAAAAAAAAAAATAAAAAATAAAATAAAATAAAATAAACCGATGAAATTAAAAAACGAAAACAAGACGAAAATGTAAATCAATATAAAATTGACGTGAAACTGAAAATTAAACTAAAATAAAACATAAGCTCTCAGATAAACATGACGGCTGTTCGTTCGGAAAATTTCATTGTAGTGTTGTATGGTATCACGGATGGGAAAACCCCTATGAGAATGCTATGTATGCGTAGAAAGACAAATGACAAGTATGTAGATAACATACAGTATACGATTCACTTGCACT